GAAGTTTCTGTCAGTAATTCTGGACCAAAGGTTATGAACTAATGACTCTAGGCGTTTTATGAGGTCGCCATTGCAAAAGCTGCTAATTGGAAACTTGGAGTGGTGAAATTCATGCTATCAATATACATAAGAAGTGTGGACAACCCCTTTTCAATCCCTTTAAGACATGATGTATAAGTGGGTTTTTGCTCTTAGCCCTAAACACTCATGGCTGATATACAGGTCACATATTTTGGAGATACCAAGAGAGATAACATTAACCAAATGAAAGCTGATCCTCCAGAGAATTGGATCAGAAATTGGTTCCTGTATAGCTGGGATGCTAAACTACGACAGTTGCCAATCCAGGTCATAAATGGAAGTATTTTGATCATTGGTAATGATTATAGAGGTTAAGAATAGGTTAACTAAGATGATTAAATACAAACTAAAGAAGGTGTTATCAACTTGAAGTGAGAATTGATCTGATTACAATATCTGTATCATTCACCAGGATAGGATGTCTTACTGGTAAACCTATAGTCTTCTTTATAGTACCTTCTACAAGATAACATGGTTTTTATATTATCACCTGTCACCTGTGGTATAAACACTTTAATATTTTATACCATTATTATCCTTTATTAAAGGTATACTACCTCTTAGATATAAATTCTTGAACTTGACCAATAAGAGTATATTACTTTGTCATTAAACTTTCAAGAACAGTAAAAATTTTTGAAAAACACTTAAAAAAATTTTACGCCATTTTCAGCAATTACTTATTTTTTATGGATTTATAGGTAGATAATTTATGACACCAGGTAAGTCCACTGATGAATATATACTCTTATTGGCCAAGTTTGAAAATTTAGATTTTATGTTCATTCAAGGAGGTAGTATTCCTTTAACAAATCATATCTTCTTCTTCTTATTTACTGAAAAATCTGGATAGTATTATGGTTTTTTTTTCATACCTAATGTTTACAGTTATATTACATATTTATAGTTCATATTGCAGTTCAGATTATTATATAGAGGTATCTTATTAACATGTTTATATTTAGAAAAGTAATCAGTTAGATGTTTCATCACGTCAGGTGCAATTGAGATGGTACCAGATAATGTTATATTATCATGTTATAACATAATTTTATGGCTTCATATAACATCTTAATGCAATTTTAGAACTCTTTGATAAAAAAGGGGCAAAGAATCTTATAATTTTCATGTTATACATATTTTTGTGTATATTTTTTTATGAAACGTGTATCTGATGATGTATTTAACAAATATTAACAATGTATTGTTCATTTTGATCTTTAAGAAAACGTTCAAGGGCCAAACATTGCTTTCGAATGGAGTATTAAATTTTATCCTAGGTGAGAGCAGACTCTTGGAAGCACAGGCACAGGCATGAGAATTATTGAAGAAACCACAGCACATAATTGCCTAACAAATAACAATCCAACTCTCTGTAGACTGAGCTATTAAATGGAATCTAGATAGGTCATTCATTGATACATAATGTTTGAGACCTGATACATATGTATCGTTAATGATACACCAATTTATCACTGACTAGTAGCTACATTTGTTAGACATTGGTTGTGACATGGTGAAATTAGTAAAGTTAAAGAGATAGAGTCATGTGGAAACTAAGATAGACTTGTCATTTCACTTTTAATATTGACAATTGATCCCACTTTAATAAGATAGAAAGTGTCATTGGATGTTAAACCCTAATCTATCATCATCCTGATAGGATATTGCATGTTTCTTGTCAATTTAGATCTTCAGTTTTCAAACAATGACGGCAATTAAATTGGACAGTTGATGAGGCAAGATCTAATTCATCATGACAGCATCACCATTGGTCAGGAAGAGACCCCCAACTGAGAGGACAGTAGTGATGTCCAATCAGGAATCAGATAACATGTGAAATTGTAAAGAGCCAATCATGTATCACATAACAATCAATACAATCAGAAGGGCGTAATACTACTACACATCATTGAGATATTGATTTTTGGCTACTTTCGGTTTGTTGACAGAGTTGTTAAAGTGATCATGTGTCACATGCAGCGTGGACAAAGCTTTAGAGCATGTCAGACGACAAACTCTTTAAGATACTATTGTCATCATTTAATTTACACTTTAAGTCTAAAATTAAATCATGGACTGTTAGCTTGATTGTTAGTAGGATGATATCAGAAGTCATGGATATTTAAATTCTTTGTCATGAAACGAAACGAAACGGAAAGTTTCTTGTATGATAGTGAATGGGAATGTCAGATAACTACACTGGGAGAAAAACAAAAGAATATTGTTGTATTTTGTGAGTGATTGTGTGTCTTGATGTAAAAGATAATGTTAAATGGATTTATTGTTGTTTGGGTGAAAACAAAATGGTAGGTTTATTTTTAAAAATTTAAACTTAACCATTATTCATTTGTCATGTCAAGTTTTAAAGTTGAGGGAATAAAATATGTTACTTTTTGTGTGAAGCTGTCTATAGGGCAGACTGACACAAAATGATGAAATCTTAGTCACGCATAATGAAAAGCTATAGAAAATGTGTAATTGTAAAGAAAAGTTTTCTATATTATCGTAAAGGTCTTTAGATATTATTAGCTGCTTTTGCAATAGTGACATCATAAAATTCAAAATGAAATGAATGAGGATTGGTGCAGATAGATGAAAACCTCCTCAAAATTCTTATTCATTATGTGATAAGATTTGATTCCAATCATACGTCTGTTTTGAAAAGTTTTTGAATTACCTCTCCTTTTATGCTGATTTTCACAAGTTGAAACCTGGTATGATGTCATAGATGTTATCAAATTGCATTCCGCCTGACAAAATGTATGATTTCTTTATATCTTTAAATTAGCCAGATTTCAGCAGACATCAACATATGAAATAACATGAAATAACATGCCGGTCTGAATTGGATAACATGTCCACAAAAAATACTCTTATTAATATAGTGATAAAATAGAATTACACACTTTATATATGTCAGATTACATACAAGCAGGTCTGATTGGCGCTATGCCATGTTTTATTAGTAACTCTGGAAGTCTTGGAGAAGAAAGATGGGTTTTATTATTAAAACAGTTTGAACTACTCATCATGATGATTCAGTTAGTATTGTGGTTTCAGGGATTGTCGTAACAGTACTAGTTTATAAAGTACCGTGATTGTGTAAGGTTAAGAGATTGGTATACTAACTTAGTAGTATAACTATATTCTCAAGGGTGTAGATCTGTTGTTTGTTGTTGGTTCAAGGGAGTAATAGTTTCTATTGTGTTAATGGAATATCTTGTTCTATAAATTGGTGAGTTGGTTATACTATTGTATGATGATATTCTGATAATATCAAGTGAGATAATTCCATATTTCCACTTTTTTTCTATTATGAAAAATGACTTTGAAATAAGTTGTACTAACTTTTCATTTATATTGTTAGTTTGGGTTTTAAACAAACCTTTTGTCCATTTGGTACCAAACTAAAACTTACAAAGATATTAGTTCACCCTTCTTGAGCACCTGATGACACTCTGCAACTGGGTTTGTAAACTCAGCATCCCTTTCAGAGAGTCCACATTGCTAATGTTGTAAATTTGGCATAGATTTTGATAATCTTCACAATTTTTCATTTCCCCAACTTTGAAATTGATTATCTAGATATTGGCAGGTTATGCTCACTTTCTGGGACACCTGATACTACCTCTCGAGAGAGGTCTTATATTATTTAGTTTCATTTCTGGGATGTTGTTTTTCACCTGATTTTGTCTTGTCCATGGATTTTCCGACTGGCTTTGAGATTTTGGTATTCTTTCGTTCTCCTTATAAATAATATTGCCTGGCTTTAATGGCTGCAAGGGACTTTTTCAGTTAAATTTTACTTGGTTGTCCCCACAGTATACATGGTTCAAACCATGTATTGATAATCTACACTCATAATAAAAAGTGCTAAGTTCAAGTGTAAACTTACAGACATCTTAAAGAATGGAGGTAATTAATAGAATTGCTCTCTTGAAATTAGAGACGGATCATACGCAATTCGGACAAATTAAGTCAAGTTTTATAGTTTGTTATCAAATCAAATTTCATATAATCATATTTAACCTTTTTGACATGTAATTATAAATGATTATGAGAAATACTTCAAATTACAAAATTCTTGAAAAAAAAAAATTCTAATTTCTGACTTAAATTTGAGAGCAAAATTGGAGTTCATTTGTATGTAGTACACTGTGAACATCACTTAATTTATTATTTTCTGGATTTAAAGAAGGGTTGATGTATTAAACTGTGTTCCCAATGAGGGAAAAAACCAGATTTAAGTTTTTGTGTGGTTCAACTTGTAAAATGGCTGAACCGTTACGATGCCAGGTTTATTTTATTCACAGTGGAAACACGCTTTTTGTTATATTGTCAATAAGAGATATAATAACACAATGAAAATAAGATTGTGTTAAAGATGAGTTCTGATAATAAAAAGTGTTCTAATATCTAGTATTTTCTTAGAGAAAGTAAGAAATTGATATCAAATCTAATAATGAAAGAACAAAAAGAAGTGAATAACTGTTCAAGTGGTAATAAGGTGATATCAGCTAATAGTGGTAATTCTAATCAAAGATACAATGTTTATTGTTTATTAATATAGATCATTATCATTGTACCACATAATATTCTCTTTATAGTCTAGTTGGAACCTTGCCGATATCTTTATTATTACTCCTGATAATCATATCTGGACCATTATTACCCTCAATTATCATATCTTGACTACCATTATCTTCTATTAAGTACTACCAGCTGAATTTATCAACCAGCAATCATGAAAATCCAATATTATTTATCCATGTAACATTCTGTTTCCGAAAAACTGAAATTGACCAAAGTAGGAACCTGAGAGCTGAAAGGGACCCAAAAATATGCTCGACCATTTTTTAACCCTAAGGTTATATTCTGAATTTGTTTTATCAAACTTTCTTTCTTGTATTTTTCAGATGTTCCTGGCCAAAGCTCTATATGACAATGTAGCTGAAACACCAGATGAGTTGGCCTTCCGTCGTGGTGATGTTATAACTGTGATAGAACAGGACCCTGGTGGTCTGGAGGGATGGTGGCTATGTCATTTACGTGATAAACAGGGCATAGCTCCTGGAAACAGACTGAAAATTCTCTCTGGTATGATTGATAAAGAGAAGGACAAGGATAATATATATAGCTCACCTAAATCCAGTCCACGTAACAGTTGGGATGCTTTAAAGGTAGGTTATTTTTAATGTCCTTTTCTGTCGATTTTTTTGTTTTCAAATTTTAACCTTGGCACAATCTTTTTGTATTTTGATGCAACAAACAATCCTTTTGGATTGACATATCTGTAGTGTCTTTTATTGGACTGAGGCTTCTGAAGATATGGCTATTATCAGACCAACTTAAACGGTTAGTAAATAAAATGGCTGGTCTGTTGAAAATATGTCAATTCTAAAGTAAGCAGAAACATATTGCAAGGACAGAAAAAAGTCAGGGACAAATATGGACTTACTATTAGAGACAAATACTATGTCATTACTATCTTAAGCTCTCCTTATTTGAAGATTAGAAACAAACCCCCTCTTCCATCATCCAGTCTATGTCAATTTTTTGTGTTATTGAGAATGATACTAAGGTAAACAAAGGACTATAATTTGGATAATAATAGGTTTGGCAATGACAACAAGACAATAATTGTAGTGTTATCATATCAGTCTAGCAGACGACATCAAAGAGTTTGGTTAAATACTTTGGTAGTTTGATGTTTGATTAGGTTTGTGGGAAAACAATGTTTGATATAGGATGTTAGACTCCTCACTTTGTTTAAAATTTCTCCATGGACTTGGGGGTGTAAGTTATAAGTCTTTAGATACCAGTACATAAGGTAGCTAACAAGAATACAAACTTCTCCATGTTACACATATTTTTTATTTTTAGTGACATTTTACGTAAAAACGTGACATTGTTGAAAATTTCCATAGACATTTGTCTAATTTGAATTTCAAGTTGTAAATTTTCGTCAAAGGCTTTGGTATTCGAAATGAAACTTATTAGTCATTTACCCCTATGACCTGTGCTATGTTGAACAAAATAATATTCCCACCAAAACTTAGATTTCTTGATCTGATATGACATAATAAAAGTTATGAATATCTGACATATTTCAATACACCCACACTAGCTAGTCGTCAATCTTACAATTGGTGTGAAAGAGGTCAGACAATGACCATATTATTGAAATTCTATCATCATCTTCCTTATGAATAGGCAATGACTCAGATTTTTCAACTTTGCTGTAGAAAACAATAGCAACTTTTATTATGATTCACAACTGAGAAAACCATGTCTAAAGCATGTCGTCTGCTAATAGATTTGTCCCTCCATTGTTTTCCACGTCCTGCACAACTCCAATCAAACAAAAGACAAGTTTGAGCAATCACAATTGCACCCATTTGTCACGCTCGTTTCTTGAATTTTTTTTTGTTCTTTTGAAGTCAATTGGTGCAAAAAACATGAAAAGATTTTCGTACTAATTTATGCAAACAACCTTGATTAAATCTGTAATGTGTGAGTGACCAGACAATGGATATCAAGTGGACACAAGATGAAGGAGTTTAATTCAATGAATGAATCACTAATGAATTCAAAATATGAAAGAAATGAAAACTGTAAATAAAATTTAGATTGATTATGGCCAAATATTTTGATTTTCTGACCATATGACGTGGGTCACACTGCAATGGCAGATGGACAAACAAATAATTTCCTTGAACTGTCAATACAAATTGATGTATGAGCAAACTTTTCATTTCGACGCTTTCAACCTTAGGGGTTTTTTTCCTCTTTGATCCACTGTAAATATCAAGAAATTTCAGTTTACGGTGATTTTCACTGATTAGATGCAAGAATTGTAAAAGAACATTTCTTCAGTTTACATGACGTCTTAAATTAGAAATTTTAGATTACTGATAAAATGCAGACGGGTTGAAAAGTGTAAGAGTTATGTCTAAAATAGAATTATGGAAAAGTAATATGTAGGGTGTGAGAGAAACAAATTTTTACTGGAGATTCTTGTGAAATTAATATGGCAAATTTCCGTCACAAAAAGATGATCCTTGCATTCCTCAGGGCAGTAGATTTGACCTTAAGGTCACCATTAATTTGGGGTAGGACCATCAGTCTTTTGTTTGAAAGTTGAAATAGATAGGTCATGTTGCCTTTGGATTGTAAAACATCTTGTTGAAAATAGCTAAAATGCCATAAAAACAACATGATGTCCTACAGGCCTCGACAAAATAAATTGTTAGAAATTGCATATGGTGAAAGTATCAAGTTCACAACTTCTCATGGCTTTTTTGTTCTGGGTATGATTAATGCGTTATCAGTCAGCAAAGTTTATTAATGCGAAGTTTGGTTCTTTGTTATGAAGAAACTTCAACTGCAACTATTATAGCAGTTAGTGATGCAGTGATTATTGCATAGGATGTCTTTGTTTGTGGCTATACCGAAAACAGCTTCTTGATTTAAGATGTAACAGTACGCATTGTAATTCATGGGAAAAATATCTGTTTTATCTAAGGTAGGCCTCGTTTTGATCTTTAATCGCACATTTGCATCAGCATTGCAGTTCATATCTCAACATAGCTACTCTGAAACCTTAAATGCAAATTTGTTAGGAATAATGGTTTGGGTGTTGCTATAAAAGATTTAACAATAAGAGACACAAGACTGGCGTTAACAAAAATCAAATTTGCTTTGTTTACTTGTGTTTGTTAAGGGACATGTAAACAGTTGATAGTCACTTTAAGGCAGGCTGTTTGTACTCCAAGATACTACTTTGTTGTATTGTGTTTGACAGCTTCTATGACCATGAATACCTTGACTTCATTATGCACTGATGGTATGTCAGAAAGGTGATTTCTCAAGTGGTTGAATGGTGCATGTTGTGATTTCTCTGGTCAAAGGTGTGTTTGATCAACCAACTTAATGCACTTCAATGCACTTAACATTTCAACTTATAAAGAATGTACTTAGTGATCTACCTTATGGCAATAAAGTTGTTGTGTTCAGATTTTTTTAAACATCGACAGAAAGGTTTAAAATTTTAGGGATGTTTATATTGAAATTCAATATTTTCGTCATGATTGATAAATTTGCATGGTTTAATCATGGTTGTGTAAGATCACCGGCAAGGAAAATTCTTTAAGGCTCCATATAATGTGCAATCTTTTAGCACAAAGAATATCAAAGCAATTCAATGTAGGTTTTGCTACATGTGAGACTTTTGGGTCTGCTGATACACAAGTAACTTTAATCAGATTACCTGATTGACTTTCAGGCGTAATCTCATCAAGTCTGACAGTTGGCACTGTTGTTCTGAACATGTCTGGCCTACAACTGTCAGAGATGTAAAGATACAATAAGTGATTGTTGATTAGTTGTAGTAAATAGTTAGACATTCCTTAATTACTTAAATATTGGAATTTACAGGTATTTTAATGGCCAGATCAGGTTTCTCCAACCAAAATTAGATCAGTGTCTTTAGTACAATCTTCAACCATGTAAAAGTATTTGGAAAAGAATGTTAGTGTATATCTTGAAATTGCACAAGAGCAAAGTTAATGCCTGGCTCTACAAGAAAGCAAAATTGGTACCAGTGGATTTACCCTTTCAATTTTTTGAGATGGCTCAATTATCAATCCAATAAGCTTCAAAATGATGCTTTTCATCAAGTGTTTCATGAGCCATCCATAAGTCTAAGAAAAACACATGATTTAGTCAGTTACCTTTCTGCCAATAGGTTGACAAGATGTCCTGCCATATCAGACTCATTGCATTTAGTATTCCTCGGTTAACTGGTACTGACCACTTACTTACTCACCTTTGATCATTAGGTACAAGTGTAACTACCAGTACCAATCAAGTTGTGTGGTCATTATTTGACCAGTTGACCAGTTGGTCAGCTGGTAATGAGAATTACAGGTGATATGGTACAAAAAGTAAATTGTTTCATCAGTTGAATATTTATTATCAGATGATCTAAATTAATAGACTACTTCCACAGAATCTTATTAACCTATTTGTATCATTCATCAGGTCACAAAAGGCTTCTAGAACTGTGATCATTACTGTGGAAGCTAGTGTTTCTATTAAGGCCAGATCTGCACTTGTTGATTGGAAAATCCTTCTATTGCTTGATCTCCGGTAAATCCTTACATTGCTATTGTAATCTATTGTAATATTGGAATATCCTTGCATTGCTTAAGCTACTAAAAATCCTTATATTACTTGAGCTACTGGAAAATCCTTATATTGTTTGAGCTACTGGAAAATCCTTAATACTTGAGCTACCTAAAACTCCATATATTGCTTGAGCAATCTACTTGAATATTGGAATATCCTTGTATAGCTTGAGCTACTACAATATCCTTATATTGCTTGAGCTACTAGAAAATCCTTATATTGTTTGAGCTACCTAAAACTCCATATATTGCTTGAGCAATCTACTGGAATATTGGAATATCCTTGTATTGCTTGAGCTACTAAAAAATTCTTATATTGCTTGAGCTACTGGAAAATCCTTCTATGGCTTCCTTATATTGCTTAATTACTATCTACTTGATGCACATCTTAATTACTATACTATTTTTCTTACTTGCTGCCCTGGAACAATTATATGGTATTCAACCTTTTTAAATTGTCCATCTTCAGACATGAGCAATTAGATACAAGTTAACATGTACCCTAGGAAAATAGATTCAATAAGTATCAAGGTGAAGGGGCAATTGAGTACATATTTTACTATTCAATTTAAAATATGACAGAATGATAAAGAGAAGGGGGGTATATTGTCCAGATTTCACCATCTATCATTATTGAAGTAGCTGTCATCAGTGAAATGAGTACCTGTAAAAAATGGTGTTCTCTTTCAAATTGATCCTTATGAACTAGGCTATTATTACTATAAGTTTGAAAATACCAGGTAAGTACCCTATGGGTAAGTGTTTGTGTTCACCTGTTGTGTGTAGTGTCAATAACAAGAGGAGGTGTTCTCTTACTTTTATCTTGACTAATACAAGGTGTTCAAATTTTTTTTCATGAATAGTCTGGTCTGTGTATTGTAAACATTAGAACCACTTATATACAGTGTCATTTAACAATTTGAATAGATTTTGAAAGTTCTTACCAATTCTTATATAATCCTTTCTGGATTTCAAATATGAAGTGTTTTATT